TCCGGATAAAACAGAAACAAATCAAAATGATGATGTGTGCCAGATTGAGACAAGTATGGAAACCTCTCGAGATGAGAGGACCCTGTATTTTCAAGAACTTCTCAAGCAGCTGTCATCTTGCAAAATGTTCTCTGAGCTGAAAGATAAATGCTTGACCATTGATTCTCACTTGAGGTATAATGTACAGGGCTGTGACAGGTATGTAATGGATGGCTCATGAAGTAGACCTTGATACTCTGGAGATCTGTCCCAGTGATGTTCCTCATCCTTCACCTCTTTTCCCAGTAACTGTTAAGGCTGACGGTGATTGCTACCCCATGTGGGCAGTGTGTTTGCATTTGACCATGAAGATTATAATGACGAAATTCGTGGTTGTATTATTTTGGATCTAGTGTTGTATCTAGTGTTGTATCAACATCTGTACTTGTCCCATCAATATTTGTCAAAAGGGATTTGCAATGAAACTGGAACCAAATTACCAAAGAATCTGGCTTGTAACTTCTGCAGAAGGTGGTTTTCAGCTTGGCAACACACCAGATTCTCTACGTTTTCCGCCTCCTCTGTCTTTCACAAAACTTCCCAACGATATGATTTAGCAATACAACTTCTTACTCGACTGACGACAAACATTTGGAGGCTGTGGATGCTGCTGCTCGACACCAAATGCTACCACTTGCTAGGATATCTACGAACAGTTTGAACAAGTTTTCGGAAAGTAGCTATACAGGTAGGTATTGGCATTAGTACAGCACAAAATACTGCAATGTATTATTCTCTTAAGAAGGTAATATGTCGTAATTAATATATGTTACAAATATTACATATGTAATTTAGAGAATTATTTCACAGCAAGAATTGTAAATATTGTATTACGACAGCCATATACCTACTCTGCTGGAACCTGCAACTGAATATATGTATTCATTATCAACTTTGTTTAGTTTCCATTTTTGTTTCTTCCTCCAAATTTGTGCTCAGGTTGTGCTCCATAATATGTGAATATGGTTGTCAACCAATATCAATAGTTCATACTGGAATGTGCAAGGGGTTTGTGACTCCAAATACCAAGCCATAGAGAAATGTCTCAGACAATATGACTTGACTGGCCTGTGTGAAACATGGAACAGGACACTCCCTTTAACCTGTCTGGATACAATACACTGAGTGTGTCAAGACAGAAACAAATTGGATGCAGTAGAGGAGGAATAGCATTCCTCTACAAACAAGAACTAAAAGGATTCATAAAGCTGACATCAAGCAATGTGTTTTCATTTTGGATAAAACTTGACAAAGCTATCACAAAATCTAAACGTGATATATATCTGTGTGTGGTGTACATTCCTCCGGAAGGATTATCTCTCTGGTCCAAAATAGACACTAATCCATTTGACACCCTTGCTGAGGAAATAGTGAAATTTTCCACATTGGGAGACACTGTTTTAGGAGGAGACATCGGTGCTCGTACTGGCGTGACTGATGACTTTATACCTGATGGCTGTTCCAAGTACATACCACTTCCTATTGAAATTGTGTCTAACTGTGTCACACCAAGAAAGAGTTTAGATCAATGCACAAACTGCTTTGGAGAATCACTAATTGGATTAACGATAAACTGTAAGTTAACCATTTTAAACAGAAGGACAACAGGAGAAACATTCAATGGAAACACTATACAGACTTCAACAAGAAACCTAAGTCCAATCAAAATTAGATGCACTCCATGCAAAACAAGTATATAAAAAACTCATCCGCAAGAAACAATACGTTTTTAGAAATGATCTTTTCGATAGACTCTCAAAACTGAGTGAGTAAGTGAGTTGAGTTTTACGCCGCACTCAGCAATATTCCAGCTATATGGCGGCGGTCTGTTATTAAATCGAGTCTGGACCAGATAATCCAGTGATCAACAGCATGAGCATCGATCTGCGCAATTGGGGACCGATGACATGTGTCAACCAAGTCAGCAAGCCTGACCACCCGATCCCGTTAGTCGCCTCTTACGACAAACATAGTCGCCTTTTGTGGCAGGCATGGGTTGTTGAAGACCTATTCTACCCCGGACCTTCACGGGTCCTCTCAAAACTGTCCGACTCTAATCCCAAATCATTCTGGTGAGAATTAAATAATATAAAAACTACCAATATGCGAACAGGACAAGTGGGACCAAACCCGTCAGATCTACTGAATCATTTTAACACACTTTATTATTTAGAATAGGCCCCAAATACCAAGTCACGATAAATGTAATAAGCGTAACAACAATCCCTTAAATGCAGAAATCAGTGAGAATGATGTTAAGACTTGCACAAATGAACTTAAATGCAAAAGGCCTTGACAATATTAGTAATGAATTCCTAAATTCGATCAGTCCTGAAATAATACTAATAGATCACTTCTGCAAACTATTCAATGACATGTTTAAATCAGGCCACTTTCCTATATGGGCAACATCAGTCATCACACCACTTCAAAAGAAATGAAACAAAACTGACCCAAATAACTACAGAGGTATTGCCATTAGCAACTGACTTGGTAAGTTATACTGCAAAATTCTAAATAACAGACTCATCAAACATCTAGAAGAAAACAACCTCTTAGATCCATGCCAATCTGGATTTTGCAAGGGCTTTAGAACCTTTGATAATATCTTTGTTGATAATTGATAAATATAATGTAAACGGAAGAATATCTATACTTGTTTCATCAATTTCAAAAATGCCTTCGACACAGTCGCCAGAAATCTGTTGCTCAACAAACTAAATATGCATGGAATTAACGGTCCTGATACAAACATATTTATAAATGATATACATATATATCTACAACTAGAGGAATTTCAGAACACTTCTCCATTATAATGGTCTTATCATGGCTATTAAGAGTTATCAAACAAAGTTAAAGATAATGAATCCTACATAATGTACTTCTTTTGAGCAGTTAGATGGTAATACAGTTAATCGAAAACTGACGTCCGTTAAGAGGGGAGCCAAGTGTTATTATGATGTTTTGATTGCATCTGATGTTAACTTAAAATTCATGAATGAGTGGGAGGATTGTATGCTTGCTGAACTTGAATGGGAAAAAATATTTTTAAAACCTTTAAAGACTACAAGGGATACTAAACTTCAATGGTTTCAGTTCAGGATTATACATGGCATTCTCTCAACTAATTCATTTCTATTTAAGATCAACTTAGCTGAAAGCAACTTATGTACCTTTTGTCAATGTGAGGTTGAAACAATCTCCCACTTGTTTTGGTATTGTTAACATGTGCAAACGTTTTGGAAATGTTTTCTAGAATTATTGAATGATAAATGTCAACATGTTCACAACATGAAATTGGACCTGCAACTTACTGTGTTTGGAATGAGAACAAATGTATATACTGATGATGTGTTTGATATAATATTGTTGTTAGCTGAATTCTTCATATATAAAATAAGGTATTAAAATCTACTCTTAGTTTTAAACATTTTAGACATTAGTTACAAGATAGGTATTAACAATGAACAAAATAGTATAGAAATAATCTGCTACGATATGTACAACTTTAAGCAAATCTAAAAGAACTCTAGATTGTCTTAGGCCACTATTATACACATTTGTATTATTATATATTTTGTTACTTTGATTCTTTATATATCTTGTTTATGTAGTTTATAGAATATTGTCACCGTTTCTGTATGGGATGTTTGCGTAATAAATATCTTATCTTATCTACATTGTTTGCATAGAGTATAACTGAAGTAATATGATTGAATTTTGTTGTGATTATTGTCGGTTTTTTAATTATTTTCACATATGCTTATCAAATGAGAGAACTTTAAAAACATGAAGGAAAAGGGTTGTTGGACATTTACTGTAAGTTCTACAAGTAAATTCCAATCTTACCCTTTGACATTGAAGTGAAAAAGCTGCCCGCAATTCAAGACTTGCAGCAAGAGCTGCTAATGAAGACTTGCAGCAAGAGCCATCCATGAATGAAGACTTCCAGCAAGAGACTCCCCCAAGTTAAAACTTGCAGCAAGAGACTCCCCCCCAGTTAAGACTTGCAACAAGAGACTCCCCCAAGTTAAAACTTGCAGCAAGAGACTCCCCCCAGTTAAGACTTGCAGCAAGAGCCACCTATGAATGACTCCCGCCAGTTAAGACTTGCAGCAAGAGCTACTCAAGATACATATGCAGTGTCTTAAAGTAGACAACATGACCAGGGCTGAATATACTAGTCTTTGTGGTGACTTACGTGCTGAAGCTGTCAAGGCCAGGTTATCATTTGAAAACCAATAGAGCTTGTTAGTTTTCATAAGGAAGACTTGTGTGAAGTAAAATACCTTGAAGCATGACTTTTTACTTATCTGAAGTTGCAGACAGAAAACTTTGTTACTGTTGTCCTGTTCTTTTAAAATGAAGTGACAATACATGCGGTTGACGAAGGTTTTAGAACCTGCACCAAAATGTCACTCTTGTAAAATAGGAATTCTTCATCCATATATGTTAACCTTATGAAAGCATGTATTAGTTACAGTGAATATGAAATATATACAGTTGTGTTCATCCCTCAGTATAAGCTTGGTATCATCAGACTGCTCTCCCCAGTGTAAAGAGTCAAGTTAAATAGCTCGGTTGGAGCACAAAGCCATAACATTGACCCTTTCAGTTACTCTTTTTACAACTGATCTCACCTAAGTGATTTTAAGTAAACTGTTCCATTAATTAACATGATTAAACCCCAAATCATGAAATTATTCAAATACTTTGGTCATTTGTCCACAGAAAATGGACAACTTATCACACCATCACATATGGAATCAGGTAGTACTTTCATACAGACTGTAGCCGTAAACATGTTAAATGACTCTTTTTCATCTTGATATTCACTTTGCTTAATAGGAACTTCTCATCTTTTAAAAGGTGAAGCAAACGTAAAATTTCTCCTTGTGATGTCTGATTTTCAACTTGGCCTACTAAATAAGAAAAAACAAGGGTCTACACACATGAAATTGTGAGAGGCCGATTTCATTAGCATGATCATGATGATAGCACAAAAGCATCTCATCAGGGTATACATTGTCACTATAATAAAGGGTATTGAAGCTATCGACTCTGGTTAGTGTTTTTTCAAATGTTTTATCTTCTGCTTGTGTATTTGAACATTATCATCATTCTACAGAACGTTATCAATGTAAGCCAGAGAACATGGTATATATGACTTACACTCCCAAAAAACACACACCCCTGCCTCAAAGATTCATTTGGTTCTAGCAAGTGATTATATCACTTTGATATTGTCACTGCATAGCATGTTATGAAGGAAGCAGTGGCATGGTAAGCATGGCATAATTCATATTCTTCATACCATACTTGACTGGCCTTGGATCAGGATGGTCTGACCATTACCAAGGAAACTAGTTTCCTAAGAATATCACAGCCACACAACAATTATCTAACATAATCTGGATAATGTTCTGATTCCTCCACAGCAGCAGCCAAGCTAGCTGGAATAAGACAGTTTATATATACAACAGAAATGATGATGAATACATCAGACGGCACTATTTCCATGATGATTATCATGCATTATTAACCATCAGTGGACCAGCGTGTACTGAAATTTCATTCTCAACTCCCTAAGGATTATACAACCCAAGCTGCCTCTCTTCACTAACAGACAAGAATCACTGTTTCCTGAAAAATGTTAACAGATTCATGCTGGTACCTCTCCCTTTCTCGACCTTTGCTTTTTTGTTTTTCATTCCACGTTTGTCCGGAGAAGACTTCCGCTTGACTTGATTTGACACAGAAGTTTGAGGAATTACCACTGCATTCTGGGTAGAGTTCTGTAGCTCCAGAGCAAAGTGGTAGTCAGTGTGTTCTGGCATTTCCCAGATGGGGAGAGTTTTACCACATTTATCACACTGCATCAGATCATCATCGTCCAGGTGAGCTACAGTCCCCACTTCAGAAGCATCACAATTCTCTGATGGTGGAATCATATTACTGTCTTGCCTTTGATGAATCAATTCAGGGGTGTCAGTCAAATTAATAATTGGCCCTACTTCAGGAGCATCATAATTCTCTGACAGTGGAATTACAATACTGTCTTGTCTGTGATGAATCAGCCCTGAAGTGACAGTCAAATTATGATCAGAGTTGTTGCCATCAACATCACAGGAGTCTTCACCAGTCAGCCCAGAATCCTCGTACAAAGACTCCACTGGGAGGTGGTCAACACTCATCTCAACATCATTATTAGATCGGCTGTCAGAGGCACACATCACAATGTCCGCCTGTCTCGGTTCATTACCACCTGGCATGGACAAATTCGAATCTGCATCTTCAGTTTCAGATACACTTCCTGTGTTCATATTTCTTATCTTTCTTGCTGCAGTTTTGGAAGCAAAAAAACCCTTAGCTTTTTTCTTCTCCGTAATTTCAGCTTCTGCAGTTGAGTCACTGTCTGAAACACTTTCAACATGTTCTGTCGTGGAATTACTTAAAGCACCATTCCTAGTATGATTTTGGAAGAACGTCTCAATGCTTCCTCGTTTGGGTTTCCTCACAGCCTGAACACTCTGACTGAGGACATTAGTATCAGTGTCCGAGGTGTCCGTAGACACTTGAGATAGTTTGGGTGTTTGTGATGCCGCTGCGGCAAACAGATGAGAGATGCTGTTTCCTCCACTCCCCTTGTTCTCAGTGAACTTACTGGCTGACAGGCCAAGCGTCAGAATAGCAGGTGCCCTGAAAACAAAATACTAAGCCATGTCATTTTAAAATTCTTCCAGTTTATACTGTTTTTCTATAAAAAATCACATCAAAACATTAAGACTCAAAACGGGACCATGGATCTTAATAGACATTAAATCAAAATCAAAGGCAAAGGGAATTCTGGTTTAACCATTATCGATTTTTTTCAGCTGGAATGCTCAAACTGAGTGAATGGCTAGTGTTTCTAGTAGCGGTGTTCCGATTAATTGAAATAATCGAAGATTGGTCGCAGTGACCAAACGACCAAGCAATCGATCACATTTTCTCGTGCTTGAGAATATTTCACTCATATGACGATAGTCATCACTTTAAAGTAGTAAGTAGCATCATGTTATACGTATCTGGAATAACAACCTGGATAGGAACATCTGAAAAATGATGCTAACCAATTTTTTTCGATGATTGTTCGTTGGTAATGAAGCAATCATCAATTGTGAGATTTCAACCAATTCCCAACACTAGTTTCTAGTGAATCAGAAATCGTGCAGCCTTCATGTGAATCTTTATTATTGATGCCTAAAATTGTCAGTAAAAGAGATTGGACGAGTCACAATAACAACAAGAATTAAATTTGTACCTAAACCAGCCAAGGGCCCTGTCACGACAGACTATAGAACAATAGCTCCCTAAAAAAATAATTCAGTGACTAAGAGAATGACTTCATTATCTTTTGCACCAAATAAGCTCCCAAGTGTGAGAAATATTTCCACACAAGCACTTCCCAATTGGGAGCCAGCCAGTCAACTCACCATGCCTTCTGGTGTGGCTTGTATGTGTTGAGCCTCTGTATGAGAGAGAAGGCATCGTCTGCAAACTTCTTAGCTTCATACTTGATGATGCCACACGATCTAGAAGCCGACACTGACGACGGGTTCCCGACGTAGCGCACAGTAACAGTCAACGTTTTAGCCACACGTTTGTTCTGCAGACAATAGTCAGATTATAATACCTTACTTCAGTGATACCAGTTGACATGATGCTGCAAGAAGTGATTGTATTAAATGCCTGTCACAGTCATGAAGTCATTGCCTACAGTATGGTAAATGTGGACTAAAACCCAGGGTCAGCAGATCCTGGCATGGCCAAGACATGCAACCAACTAAAAATGCCCATCAACATAATAAACCAACAGTATATCCTTCTTGGAGTCCACTTTGTTCCTATCTCTGGTATCTACTAAGGGCATGAAGACAGAAGATTATGACTTACACTTTCTCTGTCCTTCACCAGTCTCTCCTCCACCTCCTTTGCAAGTTCAGACAGCCAAAAGTTAACCTGTGGAAAATAGCAGGATAACTGAAACTACTGAACTAAAACCAGTTTAATATGTGACTAGGAGTGAGTGAGTTTAGTTTTATGCCGCTTTTAGCAATATTCCAGCAATATCACGGCATGGGGATACCAGAAATGGGCTTCACACATTGTACCCATGTAAGGAATCGAACCCGGGCCTTCGGCATGACGAGCAAACGCTTTAACCACTAGGCTACCCCACCCGCCCCAAGTGACTAGGAACAATACATGTCAAGGCATGACAAGGCTTCGACATCAAGAAATGACAAGGCAACAGGAAGGGTTTTACTGTCAAAATATTGCTGAACAAAAGACTTAACAAAGGAGAGAGTTGGGTTTAATGCTGCTCTGAATTGCATTCCAGTAATATTGAAGCATGTCAGCTTAATGAAGGAAGAAAGCCTTAAGTGATACAGTTCTTGATAATATGTCTCATCACAATGTAACTCTGGATGGTGCCTACCTTTTCTCTTGTGTCCAAACAGGTTTTTCCTGGGAAGTTTTTACTGCACCCTATGGACTTGGCCAGTTGTCTGGCAGACACCGGCTCGTACTCATACCCTCGACACATGTCATACAACCACGCCCTACAACACAGGACATACTCAGTTATCAGTCTTGTGATGCATAATATGAAAATAGAATAATGATGTACTCAACACCATTCCTTCCACACCAAGGTGTCAGTCCCTCACCCTACCCCTTTTACCCTGATGTGTCAGTCCAAACCCCATTCCTTCCACACCAAGGTGTCAGTCCCTCACCCTATCCCTTTTACCCTGATGTGTCAGTCAAAAGGCCATTCCTTCCACACCAAGGTGTCAGTCCCTCACCCTATCCCTTTTACCCTGATGTGTCAGTCAAAAGCCCATTCCTTCCACACCAAGGTGTCAGTCACTCACCCTATCCCTTTTACCCTGATGTGTCAGTCCAAACCCCATTCCTTCCACACTAAGGTGTCAGTCCTCACCCTACCCTTTTTTACCCTGATGTGTCAGTCAAAGCCCATTCCTTCCACACCAAGGTGTCAGTCCTCACCCTATCCCTTTTACCCTGGTGTGTCAGTCAAAAGCCCATTCCTTCCACACCAAGGTGTCAGTCCCTCACCCTACCCTTTTACCCTGATGTGTCAGTCAAAAGGCCATTCCTTCCACACTAAGGTGTCAGTCCCTCACCCTATCCCTTTTACCCTGATGTGTCAGTCCAAAGCCCATTCCTTCCACACCAAGGTGTCAGTCCCTCACCCTATCCCTTTTACCCTGATGTGTCAGTCAAAGCCCATTCCTTCCACACCAAGGTGTCAGTCCCTCACCCTACCCCTTTTACCCTGATGTGTCAGTCCAAACCCCATTCCTTCCACACCAAGGTGTCAATCCCTCACCCTACCCTTTTACCCTGATGTGTCAGTCAAAAGCCCATTCCTTCCACACCAAGGTGTCATTCCCTCACCTTCCACCAAGGTGTCAGTCCCCACCCCATTCCTCCCACACCCAGGTGTCATTCCCTCACCTTCCACCAAGGTGTCAGTCCCCACCCCATCCCTTCAACACCAAGGTGTCACTCCTCTCACAACCCATCCAAAATGAGGTGTTAGTTCAGTCTCTCACCCTGTCTTGTCCCCTGCGATCTGCTGCAGCTCCCTCTCAGAGAAGCGACACAGGTCCCCCATGTTCTCCACACCTAGCTGCTGCATCAGCGTCTCCCCCAGCTTACCCCCCAAGTGGCGCCTGCAAACAAAACAAGCGAGCTGTACACCACTTTGAACTGTACTTCTGTTACACCACTGTCAGCATTTGGTAGGCTAGCTGGACGTTTTATTGCACTTTTGAGGATGTGAACACTGTCACCATTTTTGTTTTGTTCAAGATGGACTAACTACAAACTCTGAAAACTGGGGCCCCAACCTTACTTCTATGACTGCCATAAGTCATGTTTAAGGATAGTGGCTGCTATGGTTACAGCAATGTACCAAAGAAATAAGACTTAGCGCAGTCCTCTGAAATTATCTAAAAAACAACAAAACAAATAGATAAAGCTGGCATGCCCCTACATGTTACCATGGTCACTAAAATAATCCTACACTTCCCAAGACACAGCCACTGTTCCAGTGCTACTTACACTTTCTTGAGGGGGAGCGTACTGAAGAGTCCTTCCACGGAGCTGTGAGGGAGGATGGTCTGCTTGTTGGGCTTGTGTAATCCACAGGATAACTTGGCCAACATCTGCCAAGAAACACACACCTGGTGTCATTATGTGAACACTGGGCAAGATCTTTCACTCAGAGTAGTTCCCCAGTTATAACAAGATTGAAAGTGGTATCCATTACTTGCAATAAATTGTTCTACCTCACCCATGATTCAAGCATCTAGTTATCACCAATTCCAGCTGAACAACAGAATTTTCCACCAATAAAGCGGTGGGGGATGTCAGAAAGAGGTTTCACACATCAAACCAGGACTGCTGTGTTACCACTCAGTAAAACTACTTTGTTGTGAGCGATTCCTACAGGGCACAATAAGCCTGTCTTCATACCTGTTACCCAAGACAAACAAACACCCCTTGTGGTGAGTGATGGCAGCAGTGCATGTGAAGTCTGTCCCCACCTCCCTCTTTCCCCCCAACACACACACACACTTATTGTAAGCGATGCCTTAAAAACACACACATTATTGTGAGCGATGCCAGCAGATCATGTAAAACATATCCCTCCCCCAAAACCCACATAAACCCACATCACCTTGTTGTGAGCGATGCCAGCAGAACATGTCCCCACAACACCCAAGCCTTGGTCTGCCAGCCTGTACACAGCAGCCCTCATCTCCTCCACGATCACAGCTCCAACAGTCAGTCTCTGGTTGGACACCTCCAGGTCTCCGCCATCATATAACATGCCCAGCCAGTCACGCGTACCTCCTCTCCTCTCATCATTTTCAACACGACCTAAAAGCATAAATATAACATGATCAGTCCCTTGCCCTGTCTTGTCCACCACCCCACCATCTCCAGACCGATGTGTCAGTCCGCCTCCACACTAAGGTGATTCCACACTAAGGTGTCCTTTTCTTGTCACCCAACCACCCTACTCCTCACCCTGTCCCCAACTCCGCCCACAACTTTGGTGTCGCCATCCCCCTCCATACCTTGGTGTCCTCACCCTGTGTTGTCCCTACCCCAAACCATCTTGGTGTGTCCCCACCATCTTGTCCCCACCTCAACCCCACCACCTACCCCAGTCCCTCACCCAGGGTTAGTCCCTCACACTGTTTTGTTCCCCACTCAGAAAAGCATCTCTTATTACTATACATACATTTCTATATATAAAACTACAATATTTTAGAAAAGCAATGACAATACAGAAAAATGGCATACAAGAAAGAGACAGAAATATGCAGGAATAGAATATCAATTTAGGAAGAGATACAAGTTCATGTAACAACTGCAACTGTTACATTTCTTACTGCAAGATGAATGTCTGTCCTAAAAGGATTATTTAGAGGTCAGGAAATATCCCAATAATCACAGACATCTGAGATACTCATAAAACTAAACTGAAACAAAATTTCAATCATGTTACCATGGTTATCTTGATCATGCTCCCCATCAGTCAACTGGGATTTAGGTTTCTCCCATCCAATGATGTAAGTATGCTCCAACTGGCTCTCCACCACCTTGGATCCTTCCATCAGCCTCATTCTGGCATCTACTTCCTGTGTGAGGTCAACATAGGCTTCGTCTATACTGGCTCTCTCCACACACTGACTGAACTGGCTGAACACCTGGATCACCTCAGCTCCGGCTCCGCGATACCTGCAGCGGTCAGCAGGATGTTCATTCCATTTTCAACTTTAAAAAGTCAAATAGATATTGAGACTATGAATTGGTGAAAGATTTTTTAGTTTTCGTGAAATCATGATAATATTCAACAACCTTCCCAAATTTATACATGTTATAATCATTCATTTTCAAATTAGTGAAGCAACGTTGATCCAAGGAAGTACCCCTCCACCTACTTGGTGAGGTCAGCTTTCCCCCGCACTTCTGGGACACGAGCAAACATGATATCTGGACACAGCTTCTTTGCATCATCACCCATCATGTTCCGCTTCACACCAAATGCACGGGCCTCGTATCCCACAGCAATGATCCTTTTATTGAAAAAAATCACAATAACAAAGAGTGACAAGTCTGGGTCCGGTAGCTGAAGTCCATGAAATCTTAACTGTGAAATCTATCGTTAATTATAACTTAATGAATTGTAGAAGACAATATGATCCAAGCTTTTCATGAATATATCACTATGTATCAAAGCAATGACAGATGTTGTTACAAACTGGGTTACAAAGGTTCTAAAACTAATTAGTTGCCTGGTGCATATGGATCTTAAATATTTGCTTTCCCACAGATATACTTAAATTGTCAAACTTTTATGACAGTAAATTTTCTTTGGTCCTGCAATCAATAATGCAGCACAAATTGAGCTGGAGTCAGTATAGCTTTACTACCACTCACATGTGCAAAAGAAATTACCAAAACATCAACCTGTTCATAAAAAACAATGGAAGGTCTACAACCAAACATGTTGTTTGTCTTGCTTATACCATGTTTAAATTTAAACCCATGTTTTGTTTGTTGTTTAAGTTTAACGCCACACTCAGCAATGTTCCAGCTATGTGGCGGTGGTCTGTAAATAATCGAGCCTGGACGAGACAATCCATTGATTAACAACATCAACATCGATCTAAACAATTGGGACACGATGACGTGTCAACTAAGTCAGCAAGCCTGATCACCTGACAAGTTGCATGGGTTGCTGAAGACCAATTCTAACCCAGATCTTCATGGGTTTTAAACCCATATTAGAAATACTTACAAAATGAAAGAATTCTGTTTCTCTTTCTACTACATAGACCAATACAATACTGCATGTGACATATTCAACTACCTACCCTCCTCCTTTCCAGGTCTTGTACTGCACCACGGCACATGGCTTATTCTTCAAAGTAGGGTTCAGTCTCTGCTCCACTTGTACATAGAAACAGTCCATATCCACCAGAACAATCACACGATCCATCTGGTTTTAATACAAAATGGAAATAAACATATGTCAATAAATATACCAAAACAAAATATGAACAGTGATCATGGTGATGATTGTTGATAATGTTTTCACTACTTATAAACTGCTCTAAATACTCATTTCCAGTTGAGGAAAATATTATGTAACACAATGCCACACATATCATGAGATTACCATTTCAATTCAAACAAATTTCTTTAAGAAAATTTTGGACAAAGGACCAATGTTAGAGTCTGCAAAGTCATTTCGTCTTATTGCAAAAGTATACATGCTGAAAACTATTGATAAGCACTTAAAGTGATCATAATGATTATTAACTCAAAGTTCAACGGTGCTTTGACAAAATACATTACCATCTTGTCAACCATCCAAAAAATGTGAACCATCAACTGAGCAGAATGATGATTCATCAAAAATAGACTTGCAGTTGTATAACTGAGTTACTGACCTGTTGAAAAGAATTCACATGATAACCCAGGACCATATGGTTTAAACAAAATACTGCCTTGTGAGAATATGTATACACAAGAAAGGCGTTTGTAACACACATATACTTTTTATGGTGTGTCCTAGTGGGGAGGCATTTCTCTCCATCCACAGTAAGAAATGAAAACACAACAGTGTATCCAGTTCAATTCCATTTACTTACTGTCAGTATGCATATGGTGAGGCACATGGGTCATTCTTCCCAAAGTAGCTGTGTTCACGTCTGGCTCTCACACACGTGTACACAGTCTTTCACTCTCACTTCCTCTCTCTTATCAGTAGATCTCTACCTCCCAACCAATGCTAGATCACTTTCTCTCTTATCTGTGCATCTCTACCTCCCAACCGAGACCATATAATCTAGTATATGGTCTCTGCTCCCAACCCAATGCTGGAGCAGTCCTTGTCCCGAGTGCCTCAAGCTTACCCTAGATGTCTGAGATGACATTGACAAGTATTTATCACTTTATCCCCAAACTCTTGCCCATGTGTCTGAAGGAATCTCCCACGTGTACTTAGGAAAAGATATACATTAAACACACTGTCACAATGGTGTAATAACAACTATACTGGCCGGAAAATTGAAAAAATGAGTTATATAAAGGTATCTTAGTTACGATTGTTCATTCTTTCATCTACACCCCTGGGAGAACAGCTAGACGAAAGTGATTTGAAACAAATTCTGCCCTTGTGATTTTGTATCATAATCTGAAGAGCGCTGACCATGCCATCACAAAAAATGCTTTAATGAGACGGCCAGAATGCACTTTACCGGGCGCAGCCCTCGCTGCTCCCTCTACGATCCTTAGGGTTAGGGTTTAGGGTTAGGGTATGGCACTCTTTTTCACTCTAATTAGTCTGAAAAAGTGCGCCCGGTAGAGTGCAGTACTCCCAATGAGACAATCAACTTGTCAGATTGATACATGTTTTTCACAAATATGTATTGGATGTCATTGCCATACCTTATCTCGGCCAACTCAGTCGCACGTGGAACTTCTGATTCCTGGATCTCAGTCGCGACGTCAACTTCGACTCAAGTTTTCAAATTGTGCTCACTTACTAGTGAGGTGAACAATTCGTTGTGCAAAAGACGGCTTAAAATATTTTAGTGGGTATTACCATACCGAATTTTGAATCGAGACCGACCAAGTAATTAAAAATGACCATACCAATATTTCCGTTGATTATTCTTCTGAATTTCGCTCCATACTGAAACGGAAGTTGCTAATGCGCATGCCCCGCATAGACAGCGATGTCTTTTCGAGCAAGGTGCGTGCAGAACGTGATCGAGGGGACAGAGTTCGAGTCGTTGGATTTTTAATGGTTTGCACCAACTCTAAGTTTTGTATTTTATGATTATTTTAATGTTTTATGAAAAAAAGGAAAGAGTTCCTTCCGTTCCCCCAACCCTAACTTAAATTTTGGACTTTTAGTTATTTTGTGAGTTCTCTAGGATAATTGTTGTGTTAAGTTTTGTTAATAAATTTAGTATCTTTATAAATATTATTTGGGATGGGGGAACGGGAGGAACTCTTACCGAAAAAAAATATGTTACATTTCACATCGTAGAAATGTTATGAAGGGACACTTTTTTGAGTGAGTGGCATTTACCCAGACAATGACAGTTCAAAATGAAATCCAATGACGAATGTCAAAGAAAACTAAGAGTCTGTCATGTCAAAGATCTACCCGTGACGATCAGGGTTAGAATTGGTCCTCAGCTACCCACTGCTGATCGGTGGTCATGCTGGCAGATATGGTAGACACGTGTCAATGTATCCCATTCATTGATGTTCATTATGTTGATCTCTAGATTGTCAGGTCCAGGCTTAATTCGTTTTAGACGACTGCACTAGCTGGAATATTGCTGAGTGCTGCATTAAACAACAAGCAAACAAATAAACATGCCAAAGATCACCAATAATCGGAAAGACTCCTTCCCTCGTCCCCCCCACCCATATCCCCCTTAAATTTCATTCTAGTCCAATCATATCACCTGAATATATATTCATCTGATAAGGATGAGTGTTAACATGTTTCTTTAATCGTAACTGAACATACTGAAAGACATATCCAACTTCTAAACATGCCACTCAAAGAAATTTTCCCTCATTGTTAATATTTAGGGGAGATTCGGGCCGAGGTCTTACCAAATAATCTACCCCATACTCCATTCACAAGTGATGTCAGGTGACCATTAACTCAACTTAACACATTTTGCTGTATCAAAACTTCAAAGTTGATATATTCCTAATTATATCGATGCTCGTGCTGTTGATCACTGGATTGACTCGCTGACTTGGTTGACGATTGTCTGGTCCAGACTCGATTATTTACAGACTGCCGCTATATAGCTGGAATATTGCTGAGTGCGGCGTAAAACTACACTCACTAACTCACTCACTCAAGGCAAAAAGATTTGTGAAGCCCATTTCTGGTGTACCCTGCTGTGATGTTGCTGGAATATTGCTTAAAGCGGCGTAAAACCAAATTCAGTCAGTCAGTCAAGGCAAAAAGGTTTGGAAACTTATTTGCTGTAAGGTATGGTTTTCAGACTGTTGATAATTTAGTTTGGAATGCTGAGGATGTGTTGTAAAATCTTACTTTAAATTCTATGAGGATACAGCTTCATTTTTCAGATACATATTTTGAAAATAATGTTTGTGGGAAGACTAAGGTCTTCGGATGTTGCCCTGTGATCATGATGATTTGTAAAGAGAGTTATATTCTGTCCAAGAAACACCACAGTACATATGATTTTAGACTAAGGCTTAGTCTCTGAATATATATAATTTGGATAGTAACAAACAAGCCCATTTATATTGAAAAGGATAGGGAGACCAGAGATTCAGAAGAGGAAATCTAGACTTATTTAGGGCTTTAGCACTGCAGAGAGGGCTAGGCAGTAGGGAAAAAAATGTTGTTCAGGGACTGTGAGACAGACTAATATGATTTGGATTGCACCTCATGCTGAAGGACATATCACTTGCCACACTGCAGGGGTTGACATTCCAGGAATTATATCTGCCAGTTTAGAAGGCTGTTTCCTTGTATCTGTTAATCTCAAGCCTGTGACATGCTGACCCTTCCATGACATTGTGGGAAGAGATGGTTTTCACAAACTAACAAAGTTTTCATGAAATCTTTTATTACCGTACACAAAGCATTGTCTTCTTGTGTCTTGTGACATTGTTTTCTTGTTGTAGATAACAGCTAAGTAGACTTGGATTTTATTAGGTTGGATTTCAATTTATTAGGCCAGTACAGGACTGTGGTATCCATCTATTATGTGTGAACACTCTATAATGAACCATATTATTTTCCCTACAGACTAGCCCTCCCTGCAATGCTAAATCTCAATCTCTCTCTGTCTCTCTCCTTCTCCCCCCCTCCCCCTCCCTGGATGCTGTCACCATCATCCTTTTCCATTCTGATTAATAATGACCACAAGGCTAAAAGAGGTTGGTTTCTTGGCTCCTGTTTCCTCAGCATCTTTCTCGCTATATTTTCCGAAATTACCTTTAGTGTTTCCTGACATTTGCTTTTTAGACTTTCTAATTTAGTTTTAATTGCTTGAATTTCTCTATGACACTTTCTACACACTATACCAAACCGATACCTATGGGTGTTTCTAAAAGAAAACAAGTTTCTCTCTTTTCCCTACCTCTGAAAACTTTTCTTCCTTAGATAATCCACATTTGATATGAAACTTCCACAGGTAATGCAAATACTGTTCATTGTTCTTGGAGATATGATCACCGATATCCAAGATGTAATTGGTGTTTTATCACTAAAATGTGAATGAAATCTTTCTTCAGAATTTTCTCTCTGTTTCCACATTGATCCATTACATTTGTCCAGTAAACAACACTACTACTACCAGGTCTCTACTACTGTGAGGCTATGAGAGTGAGTTTCAGGTCAGATCTGGCATTTTGCTGCCAAAGGGTCATTTGCATCATTGCAGTTTCAATTATTTTAAAGTGTCTGACAGGAACTATTTTACTGAAAAAGTTCATATAAGGCCATTGAGCCCATGACGTCTTGATATCAATATCAACATGGGTGTCCTGGTGCAAATCTGGGGGTGTGACATGTCTCTTAGTCTGTTATTTATAGTGTTTTTAGAAATTTTCATTTAAATTATTAATTATTACCTTGAAGACTTGTGCAAGTTGTCAGGCTCTTGCTGTATATTTAGTCAAAATGGCCTCTTTCCGATTGTTGTAACCATACTATACTGTAAGTTTCTTACAGCAGCTTAGTAATTCTAAGTTGTTTTAATGGTTTTACTTGGTCCAGAGGCCCAGATAAGCTGCGTATCCGGGTATAATACGCATATAAAATTTCCAATTACACATTGAAAAATAATTGTTGCGTACCAATTACGCATTTAAAATGTTAGATACGCAAAAAGTTTAAAACAAATGCGTACGGAATATATTTATAAAAATCGCCATGTAATGAAAAAGACATCGATTGCTATCAAGTTGTACTGTTAGTATAGGACAAGTGTTGTACTGTCAGTATAGGATGAGTGATTTTTTATGAAATCATGTCCATTATATTTAAGTTGGTTTTGATTAGGTATGACATAAGGCAGAACATACCTGCTTAGTAAACTTACTCAGTCACATAATACTTAGGTGAGTAAAATGACTGAAATAATCACAGAGCTACATATTTGAAAGCAGTGGGTAACAGAAAATGAAATACCCACTCAACATTCATAATACCCACTCTGAAAAAAATACAGTGGGTACAGTACCAACATGAGCTAAATCTTATCTGGAGCTCTGTTGGTCAATTAAAACTCTGGACTGAGCATGATAATCATACACATGTAAACACAATTTGGTCCAGTTGAGAGACTTGATATGCACACCTTATCTCTACTTTCATGTTGAAGAGCAGAAGGCCAGTGGTTCAATCACATGGCAGGACCATACCAAAAGGCATTACAAGATGGTACTTAACAAAAAATACTATCTTTTAATGACAAACACTGGCAGGAAATTAAATCAGTCATTTAATGATATTGAAATACAGTTCTTCATTTGAAACAATGTCTAAATATTGTTTTTCAGAATTGCTTGGGTAGTCAAGTTATTACATTAGCATGTTTATTAGGGCTGATGGCAAGATTGGAAAAGGGTTCATCAAGACAGTATTCGTCTGCTGACAGATGTGCATGGATTCCATGACATCGGGACTAGGTCAAAAGCCCCACAGGATAAAAGCCCCTTGGTACAAAAGCCCCTCGACCAAAAGCTCCTCAGGACTAAAGCCCCTCGAAAAATGGCCAAAAGCCCCTCACTTTACATATTAATGGGAAAATAAGATTAAAGACAAGATATGATTAATAACATAATACATTTTATTGCTTGATAATATAATGACCCTAAATACTATATAAATTAATATGTAATTAGCAAATATTTTTAGAGAATAAGAAATATATATCATCAAACAAATGAAAACAAATCAACAAGAATTATAAATGACATGACATAATAATTCTGGAGCTAAAGCTGGAGCTAAACCTGACATGATAAACTATATACCCATTTCCTCCTTGGGAAAGCCTGAGATTGGCTATGAGAAATGTTTGTTTAACAGCCCCTCAATGGCCCCTCTGGACAAAAGCCCCTCACTAATTTGAGCACCCCTATCAAAAGCCCCTCGATTCATGTATTTAATAAAAGAACGAACATTTCTAATGGCTCTTATATATTTCATATCAAATTTTAGTAGGAAAAAGCATGATTACACAATGCCATTTAGAAGTGGTCAAATGTAACATATGTTATATTTGGGATTACACTTATTTAGTAAAGGACAGATTCTGGTACTTTTGTTGGGTTGACTCTGAGGGTGTGGGTTAAAATCCCGGACTGCTTTCTAAAGTGTAAAACCAAATATAACATAAGTTAGGACAATTTAAAAAAATATTTTATAAGGTATAATGAACTTTTCTCATTGCTCTTGCATATTTTATAAAGTATTTTATCATACCAATGTAAAGGAAATGAAGAAAATGTGATCATTTCTTACTTGGAAAGATCAACCTGGAAAGGAACTTGGTATTTTGCCAAACAAACATTTCTCACCGCCAAACCCAGGCTTTCCCAAGGAGGAAATGGGTATATTGCAAAACAAACACACTGTACCTATTCACTTTAACTCTCTCAGTAATATTACACTATTTTGATAGCTATTAGTAATTTATTAATTATTTGTAACCTTTGTCTCTCAATTCAGTATAGTGTCTCATAGGCCGTATTGGCTGGATGTTGTACTCAATTTTATGTCTATATTCTATG